TTTGAATCCCTTTGAATCCCACAACTTTCATAATACGATTTACTCGAAGAAAAATTGCCTGAAATTAAACGTTGCACGAATGTAAAACCACTGAATCAGCTAAATTTCATCAACGAAAGGCAATAAATGGAACGAAGCTGAGAACAACAACTTAGTGAAAGTAACGTGTTGTTTTATGTAACATTTTTTATATGAATTTTGTAGGAAATCTTTTAAAAAGAGAACCTGGGAGAGTAAAAACCACAGATGCGGAAGAGGAACCCTATGCAAAGTTCGCACACTTAAAATGCTCTCAAAACATACTTAAATTTGCGTATTGTTTAAGTGTAACATAAGTGTGAATTAAGTGTCTTGCTCTTTTTAAGGATATGCTTATTTTGTACTTATTTTATCCTTAAATCACACCTGAATTGTACTTAGATTATACTCGTTTTATTCTTAAATATTTCCCATTTAAGTAGAAAATAAGGATGTCAGCATACCCTTAAAACATACTTATTTCCTACTTGAATGTTACTCATTTTTAATTGTTGTATTTTCAAAATTAATTGTATATAAACAATTATTTTGTTTATTTAAAAAGACCATTTTTTATTTTTAAATATGAAAATTACAAATATTTTCTATTTAATATTATAATGTAATATAATGTAATAATGTAATATAATAATAATATATATAATGATTTTCTTTTTTTTTTCCTTACTAGCTGCGTAACAAGATCCGTTTTTTTTTTTGAAAAAGAAAAGTAATTAATATTATAATAAATGATAATGTAATATAATATAATTTATATATATAATAATAATGTTTTTCTTTTTTTCCCCCTTACTAGCCGCATAACAAGACCTGTTTTTTTTTTAAAGTAATTAATATTATTAGGGATGTTAAATGGTCCATCCAGTCCGGTCTGGTCCATGTCAGTCTTATTTAAAGTCAGACCAAACTGTCAGTTTTGAAAATGGTCCGAAAAACACCAATGGTTCAGTCCAGACTGCAGTCTTTATTAATTCAAACAAATCATCATTTTTTTATTGAAAAACTTTTAAAAATTTTAATTTTAATTTTAATTTTAACTATATTAAAAATAAAATACATATTATTCATCAATTAACCCAACCCAATTTAACTCTTCATCACCTTCTATATTATCATCAGGTGTAGATGTTTCTTCAACAACATCTAAAATAATTTTATCATTATCCATTTCTGAAAAATAGGATAACCAACTTTTT